CAGTATTGTCATTTTCCGTCAGAACATGAACTATCACATGATGAATCTGCTGCTGTTTATATCTATACTATGGAGTGGGGAGAAACTTCTTTGTATCGTGTTTTGAATAATGCATTACGATCTGAAAATCGACAAGCACTAAAGATATGGTTTCCATATTTAAAGCTATTTGATACAGCGTTGGAGAAGTTACCTACTGTCAAAGAGGCAGTATGGAGAGGTGTACCTATTGATATTGGCAAAAACTTCTCCAAAGACCAAATCTTAACATGGTGGAGTGTTAATTCATGTTCTTCATCAGTCAACATTATTGAAAGATTTCTTGGTGATGACAAAAATGCGACTCTTTTTTTAATTGAAGCTATTAATGGAAAGAAGATTTCTGGATATACAGAACATGAAAGTGAAGATGAAGTTATTTTACGAATGGGTTCACAATTCCGCGTGAAGAGCGATGCTTTAAAACACTCAAATGGGTCACATCTTGTGCATTTAATAGAAATTGATGATGTTCCACCACCACCACCCCCACCAAGTAAGTTATTCATGTTTTTTCTCAATGAACTAAGGCTTTTAATACTGATTAACGTGTATATGGTAAAAAAAAAGAAATCAGGTAACTCTGTGAAAATATTTGTTCTATAAATAAAATGTTGTCATAACAAAATTCTGACAAATCCAACAACAATAATTTGCTCTTTTATAAATGAAACTTTTTTCACGAGTCATTATCATCAAGAACATAGTAATCAATAGAATTTAATCGTTTTAACATCCTCAAGTAATTTGATTCAACCGGTAGATTTGACATTGAACTGCCATAAAAAAAATCATGTCTTGCATCAAAACCTAGTCGAACTAGGCCTATATTTGGTGAAGACAGATCGTTCTGGATCATTTCACCTTTAGTAATTCTGTCAAATCGAACTCCTCAAAATCTTTCTTTATCAAAAAGTTCGACGACATCCGGATGAGAGATAAAAAAAATTCTCTTGACCATCACTCTTAGTCTTTCACTTATATACTCATTCGTGTCTGTCGATTCTTAATCTCTTAGAATGTTATAGCTTCCTTGAGTTGCCTGAGTTCCAAAAGTCCTTTCAATCTAAACAAATTTTCGTATTGTGACAAACTCAAAATATAGATTTTCTGAACCAATCTTGCGAGACTTGTTGAGAATTTTATCAAGTTGAAATTTGATATCTATAACTTGCCAATATCCTTTAGACTTTCCAATTAATGAAATCGCTAGGAACTCTGTCATGAATCTTCTGAAATATTAGGTTTCTAAGATCATTCTCTGAGCCACACCCACATCAAAAGTTTAGAAATCATATTGAGATCTCACATATTGACTTAGTATTCTTATAGTACATAGATACATCTACGTTAGGAACAAATGAAATGTTTCAGTTTGAAAGAATCAAGCATTGTGGAGATACAAACGTTGTAATTAATTAGTAGGCACTTAACTCAATTTAGAACATGTCATAGATCTATACTTTTTAGTAAATTACCATTTTCTAAAGAACAATGAAAGTACTAGCAGTACTTGTTTTTCTATAACTACTAAAGATCATGGGTCACGTTTTCGTAGTAATGAAATTTACTTATTGATTAATACATTTTTGATTGGTATTATATGCCATTTACAGAATAAATGACAATGCTGATAAAGCAAGTGAATCGAATGAGCACCATACATTAGCCTGAGAGTAATTTTGTTTGAAAATATACATCGCACGACTAGATTTGTGGGTGTGGATGATGCGCAAAGTAATGTGTTCGATAAAAATTGTGGGATCATCAAAAACACGACATCTATGTATGAGAGATAATATCATTGATTTATTGTAGAGAGATATTGTTCTAAAACATTTTTTTAATCATTTGTCTGGCTTTTGTGGTTCATGACGAGTGAAGAATAGAATACTTTTGAAATTTATCAAGACTTTCAAGTGAAATTAAACCTCTGACAATGATGTGTATTTGAACTCAAATGAGAGATTTATAAAATAATTTTCATCGCAACCCCTCATAGACGGTCGCTGGTTTTTTTGCGGGAGTTTCGTACCAATAATAAGCTTCAATTGGAGAATATAGCGATGGAAATCGAATCCGTAATCGTCGAGTTCTCAGTCACAGAAAGACCGAATTTCGCTGAAAAATCGTAGCTGAATAGCCACAGTCAATATAACAGTAGACAGGTAGATGGGTCTTATCGCTGGTGTCAAATTTTTGTATATCGTGGTATATCCTTAGTGTTATGCTCGCTCACGAAAATAAGTCTTCACGAATTTTTACATATAAATATTCTCGAATGATAGGAATCCTTGGAAATGCTTTTGTAGCGTTTGTCTTTCTTCAGAAAGATCGTATTTATATCACATATGAAAAGTCAGAGAGCGGGAATAAGAGAAAAAGGTTGCTATTCGCTCTCCGTGAGAAACAATACCTGAGATTTGTATTGTGCCACAAACTTGGGGATTGTGCAAAATAGAAAGGTAAACATGAATGTTCGGAACAACGAACAATGTTTTGTTGGCAACAATATAAATTTTTCTATCGAGTTATTTCCGGATGTAGAACTTGCAAGGCGGATTCTTGAATAGGCTTAGAACCGGATGGCACAAATAAAAGCTTTTCGAGGGCTTTTTATTCTTCGAAATAATATCTCTGAACACTATACGTGTGCTATTGTGAAAACTTTGAATAGTTTCGGGTATCGCATAGCTGAATAACGTAGAAATGGACCTGCTTTCCCAAGTTTCTCTGATGTATTGAACTTTTTCATTTAGAATCGTCGCTACCTTGCGGTGGTCGTGCTTGTCCTGTCTGTGATCGTTGTATTGATTGGGACTATGATGCGAGTCGTACTCTACGTTACCAACTTGTACCTGATGCTACATGTACTTATCGTCATTTTGATGCTCATATTGTTGCTGATTTTCTCTTTTTTGGTTCTGCTGGTTTTTGTCACCATCTATGTACATGTAAAAGCTACAAATGAAGATGAATACTTAATAGATTCTTGATGCATTTGTAATTTTGTAGAATAAATCAAAGTACAAGCATAGAAATTATGATGTCCATCAGCCGACGACGTACAATATTTCTCTATCATTGAGGGTGTGGATGTGATTCTTGCCATTAACAGAATTTACATTCTGAAAACTAATCACATACTAACAAAATATCTGATTGCTTGACCTCGTCTATGTAAAAGAAAGCGAAAATGCAAGATTATTCCAATTTTTATTCATAGTAAAAAGAAAAGATTAAGAAACAAAACTAGCAAACAATAAATAAATAGGGTACATATAACATTTCAATAATAAAATTTGTAAATGACCGATATGATAATGCATATTGTTGTCTATATTATTCCGAGAAAAAGATAACTATGTCAATCGTTCGAAATAAATCACAATTAAACACACACATACGGAAAGAAAGATAGATGACACAAAATTCAAATCTATTGTTGGAAAGAAGACACATCTACATTATCAGCACGTCGAAACTCATGTTAATCAACAATTTTCTTTTGTTTTTTCTTACAAAGGAACGTCGATGAACATATGTTGTAACATGGCAAAGTTCTAGATGAGTACACCAATTACAAAATACAGTCATTAAAACGTAAACAACATCAGTAAAGTGTATGGGTGCACGGTTCCGGTTTTTACCGGTTCCACAGAACCGAAACCGATGGAACTGATGGAACCGATAAGAACCGACACCAGAACTGATCAGAATCGATTGGAACCTATTGGAACCGAAATCAGAACTGATGAGAATCGGTTGGAACCGGTTCTGATCGGTTTTGGTTCCATATCAGTTCTTATCGGTTTCGGTTTCGATTTCAATCGGTTCCATCGGTTTCGGTTCTAAAACCGGAACTGGTCTCGGTGCAACCCTATATGTTTTTATGATTTCTCAGTATAGTAACTTCCTTTGCATTTTTCTCAAGAATTGCTTCTAATAAAAATGTTACATGTTTTATTGTATTTGTTCTATGAGCTTCACTATTAATTGTCATTGTTGTTTTCATTAACTGTGTTCATTCTCTTTCTTCAATATCACCATCAATTAATCAAAACGCATACTCAAGGGATTTTTGTATATATTCATATTCAAATCTTTATATAACCTTACGAAGTATCAAAAATGGTAAGTTACTTCGCTCGTGTCATTTGGAATTTCTTCAATAACTTCTAATTCTATGACATATTATTCATTGAATTCATGATCTTGACCGGATAAAGCTGTGTATAGCAGAGCTCCGCGGGACAACGAAAAAATCGTCCCACTCCGCTCTGTTCTTGAGCCTCTGAAGAGTTCTGTTTTTTAGACAAACGCAGAAATCTTAAAAAAAAGGTTCTGAACATAAAAAATGCTTCTAGCATCCTTGTCGAAACTTTTTCCTCGCCAGAGCTTTTTATCAGAGTTTTGATTCCCAAATAAAACACAGAACCTTTTAGAAGCCTAAAATGTTTTGTAAATCTCCTTTATTTTCTTCCAGAACACCGATAACCCTGCTTCATATACACTTGCCGAGACGAGACTTATCCTGCGTCCTGCGGAGCTCTGGTACCCATAATCCACACCAATTAGCGATATGTTTTAAAAATGAAAATGACTTTCTTATGAATTTAATTCCAATTCAATGAACTTTTCTCTCTTGTTAATTTTCGAAGAAACATATCTATACTCTCTAATAGGATATAGGAATTCTAATCTATTTATATGTATAACTGTATATAAATGAATCAAATCTTTTACAACTGAATAAAACAAACGTAAGATTACAATAAACTAAATGGAGTATATATATTAAAGCAAACTAACAGGTTTAATTATTGTTTTTCGTCATTAATTGATTCACACAAATAAAATTCTACATGATGACTAGTGAACAAAATAAAATCAATTATATATATCAGACAAATAAAATGATGATCGTTGATTTTTTATTTCTATTTTTGTACATGTAGATTTCATGGTAATTCATGATGTGTTGTATTTGCGTAATTTTTTTCAAGATACTTAATAAAAGCTCGTGTTATTGTTGTATGTGTAGCTAAAGTTTGCGATAAATATTTTAATTCTGTATTTTGTATAAAATATGGTATAGAAACAATTGTTAATGTTAAACCTTCACTATCAATCGGTTGTCGACTTTGTTGAAGATACCATTTTTCTTCTCGACTATCATATTCTACACCAGCATAGGATATAAACATTCCAGTATTTACATTCATTAAACCACGATTTAAAACTTTAGTAAGTATTGAACCATTAACACGTAATGATATTATATTAGCTGAAAATGGTAAACAACGCAATACATCATATTGAGTTATTATACCCATTAATTGATCATCAATACGTATAGCACCTGCATTAAATACACATATTGTTGTATTAGCTTCATCCATCATAGCATTACATAATGCTATTGTTAGATGTGTTTGTTGAGCACGTATGACTGCTGAACGTCCATCAAAATTAAGTCCAGCTGGCAAAACACATATGATACGTTCAGGTACATAACCTAGAGAATACGTAAATAGATGAAAGACTTCATATGGAAACCACTCGAAATGATATCTTGCGCCTGACATGAGTTCTAGTTTTTATGTAGGTTTTATAGATATCTTCAGAAGAGGCAATTCTTTTTGGCTAACATTTCTAGGAGATTCTAATGACTATAAGAGCTGTCTTTCGGCAAAGTTTATTTGTCCAGTTTTTGTTAACAAATAAAGTGCACAAGATAAAACAGTCATAACTCCAAAGAAGCAGCGCATCGGGAGGAATACGTCTATGTTTCTTCTCATCTCAAGTGCCAGGTAACATGCCAGATGGTTCTCAGGTTAACAGTGCGGTAGAATATTTTATATAATACAATTCGATAATTTATATGTAATCATGAAAAATTTTCACTCAACTAGTTCTTACTTGATTAATGACTCAACTAAAAATTTTTGTATTCAATCTCTGTCTACAAGTATGTGGTAGAATAAAAATGATGTTTTTATAGAAGCATCTTGTATGAGAGTTCATTAATAAATAGTAGTATTCATCGCATGAAAGTTCTTTTTGAGCATCGTTTATCAATGTATCCAGTGTACATTCCTGATTTTCTTAAAACTTCCTTTCCTCCAAAAAGGGCGCTTCTCTTTAAGAAAATGACAGTTTTTGAGATAAAACATAAGAACATGACTTCTAAGGTGATCAAGTTTGAAAACTTATAAGAATGACTTTTTATTTGAAAAGTTTTCTTCACAAATGATAATGAATTTCTAGAGCTCTCCATAAAAAAAATTGAAAGCGCTATCGCAGCTACTGTTCCTTATCGTAGCCCAATGTGTAGCTGAAGGGTCGCTCGATAAAACTCTAGATACATTTTTAGTCGACATATAAAATATAATCATATTTGATGCTTTTGTCATAAAGTTCTTCAGGTAAGCATATTAAAAAAATGCTTGCGTGATTAAATATATGCTTTATAAAGTTGAAAGCATAAGATCAATTAGGAGTAGTCTGAATTAACTTTAGACTATATATTTATAGTCATCTTAGTCAGTCTATCTACTTTTTCTTGAGAAGAGTTTTTTTTTGTTATATAGACAAAATTGAATTCTTCTCACACCAATGTTAAAGCTGTATAAAACTGCACTCTGTTTTTTTTACTAATTTTCATCATTATAATTCAGTTTTAGAGCAAAATGAATTGCACATTCGAAATCGATGCAAAAAAGCTACAGCAGAACAGATATATCTTAGTAAAATATATTCTTTATGAAAAATCGATTCTGAGAGGTACTACAACCAAATTTTTCGCAGAAAAAAAAAACAAATTTTATCCAAATATATTTAAGTTGATCTAGATTTTTGCAATGATTTCAAATATCTTATTAATTTTTAATATAAAGTACATGATAAATCGAAAAACGTATGATTAATCTAGTAATTACCATCATCTCTATAGGCTTGTAAACCAGCTTGATAAAAATAATTTGCTACTTTAGCTGTTTCAGGTTCTTCTGAAAAAAGTGGTGATACTGGTGTTAATTTAGAAAAAATTAATAATTGTTTTGTTGTTGGTTGATATGCAAATCGATGAATAAATACAGTAAATCCATTATCATCTGCTTTATATATTGGTGTATATTTTGATCCACGTTTTAAATAATAATTTTCATGGTCATGTCCACCCATAACTGCATCAATAGCAGGATTATATTCAACTACTTCAATATCATTTTGCATATTTAAATGTGTTAAACAAATAAATACATCCCATTCTAATTTTAATTCATAACGAAGATATTTTATATAATTTGCTGTAAATTGTGGTAAAGTATGTTGAGATGTTATATTAACATAAGTTTTAGATGTTGCTTGTCCTGTATTCTCATCAATTGTTAAACCAATGAGAAGAATTTTTATATTTGATATTGTTATAATTTTATATGGTATGACAGTATGAAATGGTTTGGTTGAATTAAGTTCATAAACATTTGAGGCTATCCATTGAAATCGTGATTCATTCAAACGACGTCTTATTGATGATTCTTTTAAATCAAATTCATGATTACCTAACGTTGCATAATCAAGACCAAGTACATTCAAGGCAGCAATCATTTGTTTTCCATTTAGCATTGATCCATTTACAATGCTATTACCTTTAATATTCAAATAGAAAAGAAATATTTAAATAATTGAAAGCTAGAAAAAAGAACATTTTTTTTCCCTGTTCGAGATCTATTATTAAACTAGAGCTGGTTAAAATAGTTAAAGTACGCATAGTCGAGTATAGAAAGATGCGAAGTGACTCAAAAATTGATCCAGAGACGTTGCAAAATAAATGTTTGCACTGTTATCGAATGTCGTTACTGAATTGATTTAAACACAAAAAAGATGGAACATTTTAAGAATAAAAAAAAAAAACAGTCTTATCCATTATCGTCTTTTCAAATAAAATACATTGTATGTGACGGCATTGAACATATGTTCGAAAGTAACTCTACATTAAATGCAGCTCGTCTCTTATCAAGAAAGTCGAGAGTATGTGTACTATGTAGACTTCAATAAGCTATGAATAGGAATGAGATTGGTTCGGTTTAAACTTCGAAAAAATCGGAAAAAATGATTTTCAAATTTTTTGTTTGAAATTTTGCATAGATAGAAACTTTAATATGAAAAGTTTATTGTCAATGTTGCAGATCTCGTCGCTGCTTGTATCCTAAGATACAACTACGGTAATAGAGTGTTGTTTTACATCATTCATATAAATCAACCGATCTTATGCTATTATTTTAAGATGGAAGAAACTTTAAAGACCTGAAAGTTTCATAATAAACTATTTTCGTGAAGACATTTGATTGTACAAAGTTTCGAGTCGAAATTCGAGAATTAATTTTTCTAGAACATGGCATTCATTTTACAAAATACCATCAAACTGCAGTATCTCTCTTGTTAATCTATCCATAGTTCATTTAAATTCATATAATCCTGATTCAAAAGCGTTTTATCAGTTGGAAAATTTCCCTTGCTAGGTATCGTATAAACAAACATTAATAAATGATGACATTGCTGAAAAGTTATTATAAACATTATCATGTGTCAATAATAAACTGTCGATCATATTTCTCTTTTTCTATTTCTATTTCTAAAGTACAGAAAAGTCTCAATTAGCTTTATCTGTTATGATATGTTGACAAGAATAATAAACCAAAATAACAAATTTATCCATTGTATTGATAGAATGTATTAGAATATATACATTCTAATTATGATTAATGATCTTTGTAATATTATAAAAATCAACAGCTTTCATGGATGCGCAACATATTGTTTTGAATCTGACGAATTCAATTGTATTTAATGATAATGAGCTATGTAAAGACAACTGATGTGGTTATTCGATAGTTTGACTGTTAAATTCATTTTTTGGGGAGGTTCTACTAGTTCAAAATATGCTGTTGTATATGTATCTCACCAGATATCTAATAAATAATTGTTGAAAAGTATACGTATATAGCAGCTGTATTCAATTTATTAATATAATGCATATGATAACGGTTTGCATGTAGAAAAAAAGAGACAGATACTGATCTTGATAAACAAAAAAACGCATGAAATATAGCTGACTATACTCAATATGATAACGACAAAATCAATCGAATGATTTGTTTATTCATTAGATGATCTTAATTAAATAGAAGTAAACGTAAGACAGCTGTCTTTTTCATGTATTTACATATCATAGATTATTCCATCTTGTTATTATTATACTTTACGTACAAAATATTGCTAGAATCTTCTCATTTAAATTATAATGAAAGAAACCAATTTTATCATATTTGATAATTTTAAAATAAATATTTTTTTCTCATACCTAAAGCTGATGGACTAACAACATCACCAGCTAGAATTGTAATTGTATTTGGATTTTCTTGAAGAAGTAATTTTCGTATTGTTGCTACACGAGCTAAACCACCTTTTTTACCACCACTTAATGGTATAAGTTCATAAACATCATTCATTTGAAGAAATGTCCATTGTATATATGAATGTGGATTATTAAGTTTAGGTGGTGAACCAATTTCATCAAGAAATGAATGTAATTTTTGATCGGTATCAACAAATGATGTAACATTATTAATTTGAGTCATATGTTTATGTGTGGATCTATCATATACAATTGGATCTATTTTATGAAACCAACCAATTATAGCAATAACAACAGATATTAATAAAAGAGATATTAAGAAACAGAATTGCCAAATACTTAATTCAATTTTATTTCGACAAACCATATTTGACGGAAGATAAAAGGTTTTTTTGTTTAATATACAATCAATAAAGTAATATTTGTCTATCGTTATTCAAATTTCAATTGCATGCATATTAATAACCGCTTCAATATTGCATTCTTTTTATTTATTTTGTTTTTTGACTTTACACTTTTCTTCCTTGACTTAATTTTGATAAGCTACTTAGGTAAGTGTTAACAACATACATGAATGATTATATAGGCGATGAAAAAATCAATACAATGGTGTCCTTCACTTGAATAATAATCCTTTTGAAGTTGTATGTTTTGTTTCTGTTTTCTAAATAGAATTATCATAATAATCAAGTGCATCTATATTGTTGAAAATATGATGTAAATGTTCTCTTTTTTCTTTTTTAACAGATATACATATATATTGAAAGTTATGTATAAAGGATGAGTTCGAACGTGCACGCATTATATTCTGAATCAAAATACTTACTGATACAGTTTAGTAGGCAATACTATAATGAAAAAAAAACACTTTCTTCTTTTGCTGTTGTTAATGAATAAGTTTGTTCAATTTGTAAAAGAAAACCAGAAGTCTTCGTTATAATTCTGTGAGACGTTTACGAATTCAACGATCTTTAAATTACAAACAGATATACTAATTGTGTTATCTAGCTGAATATTTAGTATACATAGAAATATTAAGGATGAAAGAGAGAAAACAGAAAAAGAAAAAGATATGTGATGTCAACCAGCAAGAAAGCGATACATCCGACATTTAACAGTCATAGAAAAATAGCACTACTAATTGACTACAAATCTTAACCAGTCGGAAACATTTCAACAAGTAAACTTGTCAATGAAAAAGAAGAGCCAGAACATTGATGATATATACAAAATAAAATAATTATTCCAAAACTACTGAATCAAATTATATAGAAACAATTGATAGTTTCTCATGTTTCTTTTGATTTTAACAGTTAGTTTTTACCAACAAACTATTTTCCGTAAAACCGTTTATTAAGAGACGATCCACGACTCCATCGAACATGGTCATACTCTCGAAAAATTTCACCCCTATATTTTATCATTGGAAATGAGAGAACAAAGTGAGAAATCTATAAATCCAAAATTTTAGCTCATTCTGACTTACCGATGAAAAGTTATGAAGTACAAACTGAAAGCACCCTCAACAGGTTTAGAAAAAAAAATTTTTTTTTAAATTTGGTAAGTTAGTATTTGATCATTCTCCACAGTGAATTCTCACAATCTTTTCGAGTAATATACCAACTGATAGAGCGAATTGCTCTCTACAAAACTGCATATGTCATCCTCGCATCACCCTTCATTTTCTAGGTACAACAATCGCGAAACTAGATCAACCCTACTGCTTTTTTCGCATTTTTCTCTTGTTCTCTTTTTCATTGCAATCTATATTTCTATGCTAATTCTAATGATCCCAGAAATTTTTTATGGTTTTGAATACAACAAAGAAAGAGCTATCAAATGAATATTAAATGCTTGAAATCAAAATAGCACACGGTGTTCATCCAAGCCACAGAAACTATTCGACTACTATCTTGAAAACCATATTTTTCATTATTTTTCTGCACCATTTATGTATATGTTAGTTCTGACTTTTCTTCCAACTAGGAATCGAATTGAGACGTTCCCAAATGCTATATAATTTAGTCATTTGCTTTATTTTGTTTTGAATTGCTTTCAACGAATGAACTCTACAAAATCGAATACTATTATACACCCATTTGATCAATAGATCATAAATAAAATTTTGATGAAAACCTATTTTATTTACTTTTTAATCTTGTACTAGCAAAGTTACAACAAGGGTGTGGGTGTGGGTGTACTTCTCTCATTTATGCCCACACCCATACCCTCATGTTCAAGTAAGGCATATTTAAATTGTTCTACAAGAAAAATTTTACATAGAAAACAAAAAAAGAATTTTTTGTAGAATATTATATATACTTTCAAGTGCATCATAAGCTTCTTGAAATAATTCTTCGTTTGTTTTTAATTTTTCTTCATCTTCTTTCATTAATTCAATATAAATTGGTTCAAGATTATAAAATACTTGATATTGTTTTCATTACATCATTTATACGTGTTATATCACTACGAGCTTGTTCAATATCAGCTGGTGGTAAAATTTCTTGATATAATGGTATTGGTGATATAGATGGTTGAGCACAATTAAGATCAAGTCCTAAGGCAACTATTTATTTTAATAGTTTTATTCAATAGAAATAGATAACAAAAAAAAAAAATCTCTAGAAAACATACCACTTGATTTATCTTTTGTCAGGTTCTTTACTCATTGATTCATCCTCTTTAGAAAAAAAGAAAACATATATGATTTTCATAAGCAAGTTTAAAATTATAAATCCTTGCTAAAGCACTTTCGAAATTAATACAGGATATCCCATAAGTAAGGTAACAAAGAAAAAAATTGAATATCTCTATTAGTATTCGAGCAAATGGATTGAGTTTTTTTTTGTGCCACTAATGAAAGGATGTTCAAACTTATATTCACAAATGTTTGTTTGAATCTCGAAAACGTAAAAATTACCTTCTGGTATTGTTTCTGGAATTTTATCAATAAAATCGTCTTTTTTTTGGATTCATACTTTCTATGTTAAAGTATCGCTTGTTTCATTTCTATATAAATATAAATTATAAAAACAAAGATTCAAATCTAAATCCATTAAAATCTTTTTCATCAACTTCATCTTCATCATCAACTGGTCCACCAACTTCAATTTTTCTTTATCATTCCGCTAAACGTTCATTTCGTTCTTATTTAGCAAATATTTTCATTTCTTCCATTCGTCATCTATGAATATAAAATAAAAATTGGTTTTTGTTTATTTGAAATCCTAAACAAAAGCACAAAGCGTTAGTGTTCTTTTTGTCGACAATTGATGTTATGAGATGATATTATTTTTCTTATTCATCAGCTTGATAGATCAACGAATATAGAATTTTACCATGTCTATTCTCCTTTTCTTTCTATGCCATATCAAGTAGTTTTCTGAATATTTTTCAAGGTTTTTCTTATTATTTTTATACTCGAAGTACAGTCTTCTCAAAAGAAAATCCAGTAGAAAAAAAAACCAATACTAGATTATCATTTCAATTTCTTAGATGATCAATAATAAATATCAGATATATTGATAATAGATTTTAATTGAAAGAGTCAACGTCTTTCTTGACGAAATGTTGCAGATCATCTATATCAACTAATCGTCCATTTTGTGTGAAATCACTGTAAAAACAAAGATCTTTTACATATGTGCATTCATAATCATAGATGAATGCAATCTTCTTGTCTTAAAATACAATAAACAAAAAAGCTCATTGACAAGATCATCTTAAAGAAAAAAACTAAATCATTTTTTTTGCACCTGATTATGTTCGTACGTTATCTTCATGATATCGAACATCATCATCATTATCTATTTCAATATCCGATCGACAATATTTTATCAACATTAACACTTATTTATTGAATTGACATTTCAAAATATTCTTTTTCTCATGTTCTCAAAATTCAACATAATAGAAATCATCTTGTATTTGCTTTATTTTGGGTAATAAATCATTATCAATTATTCATTTAGATATGAAATATTTATCTTGATGTAAAATCGATGAATCTTTACACACACTTAAATATAATTTGAATTAATCACTTTAAATTGAAAAATGTTTTGATATTCTGCATTATTATTTATTTTTAAGATATTTCTTGTTTGCAATTTATATCGTCTTTATATTCATAGTCAATCAACAAAATCAAACAATTGTTTGTACATTTCAATTTTTTCATTAAAATAGAAAACCATTATCGAATTCTATTTATTAATAAATGAATTTGAAACATTCTCGTATCTTAGTTCGGATCTTGTTCTTACGTACAATGAAATTACCAATAAACAAATTCTATTAGATTTAACGCATCTATGGACATTTAATACGAATTTATTTTATCTTTTAAAAATATTTTATCTATTAGATGTTTTGATAATGAAAATACATTCATGTTGATTGACATTAGACAATATGAAGAAAATCTTTTTATTTACATTTTTTTTTACATGTTGAAAATGAAAATGAAACTGGTAAAATACAAGAAATTATGATTCAAAAAGGTATTCAACATGATAAACAATTTGTATATATGTATTGCTGACTTGTCGAGTTTGAATGATATTTAATTTGATTGTTACTCTTAGTTAGATTTTTATTTGTTTATCATATTTATTGTTTTCCTTTTATTTCTAGTTGATTTAATGTTATGATTATTGAAACATATATATAGTTTATTTAAAGAAGCTATTGTGACTTCGAGGATGGCAAAGTTTTTTAATTTTCTTGATATTGGACATTTACTAAGTAAACAAACAATTTCAAATAGTAAAATATCCTTGTTTTGATAATGTAGAAAAAGAAATTATGATTTAAATGAAGTTATCAATATATTTTTAAAAAGTCTTACTAGGAGCTAAAAAAAAGTCCACCTTATATTAGATAATTTGTCAATTCAATTAAAAATTTATTAATAAATAATCAGTTGATTATTTTTTTTTGTTAGTTTTGTATTTTTTTCAATTTAATTTTGATAGACTCTTAAAGATGATTTAATCATCATATTTGCCTAGAAATTTTCGTGGTTTTAAAGATTTTCAGTTTTGCAAAAACTACATTGCCACTTACATTAGTATTGAATAGGACATTTTTATATGATTCAGCAAGCCAGATGGCATTTACTACCTTTATCTCTTACGGAGTTTAAAACGATCCACTGGAATGAATTAGTAATATACCATTGTAATATAATTTTCTCTGGATTCGAATAAAAAAACTCAATTCTAAATTTGTTTATTGTTTTTCTCAGAACACACTCTCCAATTAGAAAAATTGAATGTTTTAGTCATTCCAAAAATGGGTCATGAATCAGCTGGAACGCCGACTTATATGGCTAATAGGGCTCAAACTTTTAGCAAAATCATATCTCACCAGACTGAATCATCCCTGAAAATTTCAGCTCAAATGTACTATCCCAAGAACGACCTTGAAAAGAACATTGTTTTATTATGTTATTAAAGAACTTCATTTCAGTTTTTTGAATCTTTTTTATTATAATTTATATTCTGTTGTGGTAAAAAAATTTGGACCATATCTAAAAACTTTGCGTATATTGCTCATTGTTTTTTTGATACGATAGAAGTTTGTCTATTGGTTTTAAAACTCTTAATGACGCCACTATCATTACTATAAATTTACAAATGATTTTTTGTACTACAATAGCCAGTCTTTTCTCAGGAGTGCTAAAAAAAAAGATGACCTTTGAATTTCAAATTAAACTTTGAAACCAGAAAAATCTTAATGAGGATACCTCATTGCAAACATTTCAGATCGTCTAGTTGTTTCTATCTAAAGATAGTGTCATAGTAAAACTATATTTCAAATATTGATAACATACAATAGCAGATTCTGACATCTTGTTGCAGAAAAACACCAACAGAAATATCTAAAATTTTGATAATAGACTATTTCATCAAGGCGTTTCTCCGCAGAAAACTTTTCAAAATGGAATTCAGCATTATTTTCCCAATGATTCTGATAGAAACAGTAGTATCGAACTAAAAATATTGCGAATGTGTAATAGCCGAGAAGCAAGAAGCTATAGACATGAATTATATCAGAATTTTCATAGCTTTTTAGAACTTATATGATTTACTGAGTCATAATTGAAGAACAAATTGATGATTACGAGCGTTGCTTTGTTTCATTATAATAAAGAATTGCATCATTTATAACTCTTGAAATAAATCGAAGCCTGTTTTCATAATCATCAAGAGATTGAGAACGAAAACGAAGAAGTTTATTTCGATATTTCTTCATGCTGAAAAAATGCTGCTCAATCATTTAAATATGAATTGAAGATAATAGGTAAATTCGATAGTGTACAAATTAACAAAACCATTCATTATTATTAACATATTTTTGGAGATAGATCATTGTAAAAACGATTGATTTAGGAATTACAGTTGAAAATGTCAAAATCGATTTCTTAGCTCATAATAACAGAGAAGCTGTTAAAACAGAGAAATTTTTAATGTAATACTTGTTCTATCACAAAACGAATTCAAAACCATAATTCACGATTAATGCAATTAGAATAAATTTTTTTATTGCAACATAAATCTAGTACTACCAAAAAAAAATCCCAGCAAAATAAATCAACAGTAACACAATAAATTAAAGCTTACAAAATAATACCGTTCTCTTACATTTAATACGTTTGCTTTCCAATCGATTTGTTTCTTTTACAATTAAAATGAAATAATATTTCATAATTTAATTGGAAAAATCAATACAGTAAGTGTACTTCAGACTTCATTTTATCATTACAACATATTAAAACAATTGTTTGAAGGATTCAATTGAAGCATAATAATGAAAAAAATGTAAAATAATTTATGAATAAATATATGTGGCAGCATTGTTTAGAAGAGATTATTATTTTTATTTTTATTTTTAATAATTATTCTAATAAACAAATACTACCATTATTTAGTTCATATCTTACTTATTTAACGAAATAACTATATTACTATAATTTTCGCATGCAGTTAAAAAAATCTCTTATTTAAACTTAATACTTTTAACACTAGAATTTTTGTTGATATTTAATCTTTAATCGTTCTACTAATTTCATATGTTGAGCCATTTCGATAATCGATAGTACAACTATCTTTACTTTTGTATTAGTAATACAAAAAAATTTTGTATATGAAAAAGATGGAAAAAAACAAGTTTATTCTTTGATTAAATAAAACAATTTTAAACAAAGAAAAACAAATACTATTCACATAAAGCATTTACATGTGAAATAAACATTAAGTTATTTTTTTGATATCTGACTTTTTGATAAAAATTTTACAAAAATATAATGAACAGACAATAATATACACACACGATTTTAGATCTTGAAGATTGCAACAAAATAAACATGTGTTTGATTCAAATTATTCATATATCGATTCGTTAATAAATGCTTGTGGAAATTGTTTTATATTAAATAAGTCATATGATTATTTTATTGTATGGAGCATGTTCATCTGTAAGAAAATCTAAAAAAAAAAGCAAATTCTCAAAAAAAAGTTGTTCATCTAATTTTCTATTCTACCTTACATCTATTGAAAATAATTCTGTTCATTGATAATATTCAATAGAAATTGTTCCACTAATAATAATATACAAAATTTCATTTGTATCATATGAATATATAAATGAAGCATCTATTAAAATATTTTCATTTATTGATAATGAAGAGGTATATATATACATAATAAAAGCAATCAATGCCTTCAGATGATTGATATCTTTATGAATAGATATTGTTTTTCATTTTGTATTAAATTATTTTTGGTAATTAATCAATGTTTTCTTATTGATATTTTTGTAGCTCAACATGATTCAAGAACACCAAGAGAAAATAGAATAAAGAAATAAATTAATCTACACAATAATTGGTAAAAGGATTAAATCAATGGAAGAGTAGAATAATATCAATCTAATTGGTTAAATATTGAAAAAAGAATTTTTTTTCACATAATAGCATATAAACCTAATACACCATATTCGGAATGTACACAAATATGCATCTTTTTTTGTTTAAGTTTTTTGGCTTTTACAACTTCTTGAATCTGTAGTTGTTCGTTTTGTTGATTTTCTAGAAACAAAAAACAAATACAGTTAATAAATATATTTATTTAAAAAAAGTAAACGTGGAATTATATGAAAAATCTTTCAGCATTACCCATGAGCAAGTATAAAGCTCACTGCATTACTTCAATTAAATTATGTGTTTTATTAGTCTGAAATCAAAAGCTTTTTTCCTTTATTGTTTTCGATTGATCTCAATTGAATTTTGAAGTTTATGTAACTTACTCGACAAACAAAGACCTGTGGTTAAACTTTTGAAATTTCGACAAGCGTTTCGAGTATCATTTTGACTTAACTAAAATAAATTGACAAATTAAGTGTATTGTTAATAAAAAAAAAATTGTGTGAAAGATGCTTATAAAGCGTGAAAATAATGTTGGACTCAAAATAAAATAAGCCAATGTAAAATGAATATCTTAGGAAGAGTGGCATATAGCAGTCTTTAGTTTCAAGTAGTTGAAAGAGAATTTAGAGCATGTTTTCACAGATTCAATATATAAGAATGAACTAGTCGAGAATATTATTGGAAAAAACATTTCACGCGTATGATAATTTTCTGTGATTCTGATAAACTTTTAAGAGCAAGTGACAATTTGTGTTCAAATCATAACGATTATTTAATTACAGATGGAATAAATACCTAATACGGTTTGATTAGCGTTACAAAGCAAGATGATACTCTCCTACGAGTCATGTTCGATAATACATATGAAGTCTCAAGACAGATGTACTTACATTTATTGTGGACTGCTTCCAGCTCTTTCACTGCATTGACAATGGAACATTTGAATTGACTTTCACTAAAGAATGTTTGTGGATATTGTTTGAAATCAAATTGTTAACTTACATAAATATTGAATGTAATATTTCATCATCATGAACTTGGTATCCGAGACGAATCAGTTGTTCAAGATCAGTTAAAGTATCTAAAGAAAACTTTAGTTTAGCGAAAAGGCAAGAAGATTCTATAAGTGTTGAATCAGAATATATCAAGCAATCAGATAAAAATCAAGAAAATTACTATTATTCATGGATTTGATTTATTTCTAAAAATTAATTGCTTACCTTTATAATTTTCATCTTGAAAATTAGCTTGTAGTCGATATTTTAAACATCGAATAAGAACCATCTTATCGTTGTCTGCTATTGGAGCTTTATAACGATCAACAATAATAGTAATTGTCTAAAATTATCAATAGCAGTCACTATGGATTACAATAATCCTGCCCACTTACTTGAATAGCTTCTTTCAAATTTCCGATCTCAAAGTTGTTGAGAAAATTCACGAAAAGCTCGAGTCCATCAGTCATTTCTACAAGGAAAAAAAATCAGTGTTTCGTTCGAAAGAAAATTTTTTCAAATGAATGTTTGTGAAGTAAAATAATACGCTATTATATATTATACTTAAACAATAGAAAAATGACCGGCCGTAGTGTAAATGAAATACAATATAGATCTGGTGAAAGCTAGACCAACTCGATCATTGAGCCTGACGAACAATAATGATTCTATCCGATGATTTGTTAACTAATAGATATCGTAATATTCGAAGAATACCATTAAAGAGAGACACTAAATAAATATGTTTTCGAAATGACCGCCTTAGTGATGACATATTTGATTTATAATTTGATTCCTTCAGGATATTTTACTGGTTAATTTTATATTTAATAGAATCGAACAATAAAAAATACTTAAAAAAAAAAAGAAAAGGTTGTGTTTCTTAGAAACATAACATTCAAAAAGCATAACTTATTTTTAAATAAAAACAATTTTATTACTATATTAGTAAAACCTTTTTCTCTTTAGAATTATTTGATGAAGCTCGTTTGGCTAAATATAGAGCTTATTGTCCTTATTCATACTTTCGGTATGATTTGATATTATTTACATGATATATGTTTTTCGTGTTAACTGAATAGAGTAAGAGCAGCTTTATTAACATCAACTGGAAAAATATATACTGGATGTAATGTTGAAAATGCTTCATATCCATTATCAACTTGTGCTGAACGTACAACCATTGTTAAAGCTGTATCTGAAGGTGAACAATCTTTTCAAACAATTGCAATTACATGGTAAGTTTATCTTTAAACAGGAAGAAAAAAGTTATCACTATATAATTCTTTTTGTTTAGGAATGTTGAATTAGATTTTACTGGTCCATGTGGTTCATGTCGACAAACATTAGCTGAATTTGGTCTTGATTTAGATGTTTATCTTATAAATACAAAAAATGAATCAAAAATATATAAATTTCAAGATTTATTACCTATAGCTTTTATACCTCACGATCTTGAAAAACCTCGTGCAAATTACTATGCTATTGAATAATTATGTTTTTTTTTTGTTTTAATAAACATGATAGACAATGGTTTAGGAATCTATTTTTTCTATTTTGCATTTTCAGAAATGTTTGATTCCGAATCCGAATCAGGATTACAAAAAGAAGAATCGCTTCATAATTTTTCTTCTACATAAAGTCAACGTGGTCCTAGTAAGACTACTCAATAAATTAACTTTTAATATTTACTACATTTTTCTCAAGCTACTTGTGCTCTTGGTCATATAATTGATTATACAAAAACCAGATATAACTATATTATGTGACATATGTAAATTTTTTTTAAATATCAGTGAATTGAAAATTCATACAGCTTATCATAATGCATTAAAATTATTTAAACTCAAAGTAAAAAAACTTCGATTTATTTTATTTTTTTTTTTGAAAAAGTTTTTTTTATAAAAAAAAAGGATATGCCAAAATAGAATAGATGTAGTACTTAAACGTCGAGATTTACTTATACAACGTATGCAACGTTTAAGAATATCTGAAGAATCTTATTTGAAATATGTTAAAACTATTAATGATGCATTTCAAATTATAAAACGAATTATTGAACCTTATTATTATGGAGATAATTCATGTATATATGATAATCATGAAGCATCGAATGTACAAGGTGATTTTTATTTTCTTATTAAAATATATATTTGTAGATAATACTAATTATCTTAGGTATAAGTTTTACACCACTTAATCGAACGTTTCTTAGTATTGATATGTATACTAATCAAAATATATAATATAAACCTGATATGGAAGATACAATGAGATTTATTGATTGTTTCGGTATGAAAAATAGGAAAAATAGAAAAAAAATATTTTGTCATCTATTTTTTATCTAATTCTTAGATTCAATACTATTTTATTATTAACTCACATGCTACTTTCTTATAGAAACCTGGTACACTCGTATGTCATATACACCAATATAAAATCAGTATGCATCACTTGCTATCTTCGTCTTATGCTTTATGCTTATATTTTTTTTTATGATACCGAAAGAAAACAAACAACATCGTCGTGTCTCGAGAACCGATGTTTCAACTCTTTTCTGAATAATACATATAAAATAATAAAGCATTTCATTTAATTTTCGGTGGTAAAGAAAAATTTTCTTATATTGGTTTATTTGATGGTTATAATGGAAAAGCGGCTAGTACAATTATGTCGAGAACATCTTCATGAAGCTATTTTAATGGAAATGTCTAAATTAATAAATGATATAAATAGTTCCGAAGCTGAACAAACTCTTATCAATCGTCTTTATACACGTATGGTTGATACAAACAGTGAATATTTTAATATAAAAAATATTGGTGATGTATATCGTTTGGCTTATATAAAAATGGATCATCTTTTATTACGTGGTATTCATGAAACATCAAGTGTTCGTTGGAGTGGTACATCAACATTTACAGCTGTTGTTGTAGTTAATGATAAAATTGAAGATTTATTAGTTGATATAGAAAATCATGATGATGATAAAAAAATCATATTATTCTTGGTCATATTCATATCGCTAATTGTGATAAATTTCTGTTTTTTGTTGTTTCTTATAGAAAATAGTTTTCATTTTTTTAAAGAAAATGTTGAAGCATTAGGTATTCAAGCTGGTGAAGTTGTTTTAATGTCTCAAAAACATACGTTAATAAATAAACGTGAATGTGAAAGAATATTAGAAACAGGTAATAACATTTTTTCTTAAAACAAAAAAAAAGAACTTCATTTGTGTGCATTAATATATACAATTTAGGTGTAAAAATAAGTGAAAATGATGTAATTGCTGGAATACATGAAACAACACGTGGATTAGGTAATCATGATGATAAAGATATAAAAAAATGTGTTATCAATTCACCTTATTATTGGACATATGAAATTGATCCATCATTAGAATGCATCATAATAGCTACAGAAGGTCTTTGGCAAGTTCTTCAATATGATATTGTTGCTGATATTGTTATACAAGTAATACAAGAAAAAAAAAGAACTTTAATTTCATAAAAATTTCTATGTTCCATTAAATAGTGTTTACCAGCACATCATATGCCAGCACCTAGTCGTATGGAAACAGTACTTCAATCTGTACTTGAAAGATATGGAACAGTAACACATACCCCTTATTTAACAAATGATGATGATACTATAGCTGATTGTAGAAATAAAATGTTATATTTAATTGAAGAAGAAAATCAATTTAGTAATAATGAAAATGTTTTTTTTTTCTACACGTAATCGTGCAGTACAATGTTCTGAAGATAATATTCATCAAGAAATATGGAATTCTTTATCAGCTCAACATTGTCTTCGTCTTGAATTAGCACAAAAAATTTGCTGAACGTCTTGTTTCAGCAGCAATTTTAGCACAATCAAAAACAAATGTTAGTGTCATGTCTGTTATTAGCCGATGCAGCTGTTTAAAAGCTTCATTTTTTTGTCAAAATAAAAAAAAACATTTGAGAGTAAAAAATAAGATTTTACTAAATTTATTTAAGGCATAAAACAAATGTTCTTCTCTGTTTCTTTTTGCTTTGATGTTAACCAATTTAATGTAGGCACATTTTGTCGTAAGGCAAAAAATGTTTCATATTTGACATTATATTCTAGTGTTCGTTTTTCTGATGGCTTATAATGTACAGTTGTTTTTTCAGCTAAATAACTAATAAGTTCACATTGTTCTTCAAATATATATAATTTTCTACGAAATTTTTGTCGTATATAATCCGAACTTGTTGTATTAACCAGTGTGAACTTAGCCGGACGACCAATCAGAATCATTTGCATATTCAGCTAAGCATATAAGGAGCAGAAAATACCTACGTCCATCCACCAAATACCAAAGAATTTTACATGGCAACCATAACTTACAAAAAAAGATATATGGCCGTATGAGCTTTGCACTCAACTATATTCAAAAACTAAGCACCCAAAAACAATCAAAAACAACAAAAACGTACCAATCAACACTTCTCTCACCTAAAAGCTTTAGAAATGGACTCAACAACTGTGTTGCCAGAGGCTACGCATAAATCTCGTGAATATCTAATTAGCTTACACATTACGCGTACTTACATTAAGCGATTGTAAATTTGTGCAATTTTTTAAATGCCAATAATCGATACAGCTGGTCGAGTTGTTATAAAAAAATATATTTTAACTTTTGTAAATGTCGTAGTAAACTAGCACAAATTCGAAAATGATCATCCGATTTGAGATGATCATCACGGCTTGTTGTTGCATAAGTTTTCAATATGATGATGTTTTGGTTACGTGTGTAGGATGTTTTGAATATAAGTAGATGTTTCATGAGCATATGTTATCAGTTGAATGTGTTACAGTTTGCGTCATGGAAAATATCTTATTCAATTGTGAGCGACAGAATTGTTAAAATTACAATGACTCTTGAAATTTATTTTGTTGTAATCATGCTATTCTGGATCGCATATTGAGAAATTTTATAGGTTATCCAAAAAAATATGCACGCATTTCATCAACAGTTGAATAGTTTTTCATTGCTTGTTGGCGATTGCTTTATGATTCAAGTGAGATTTGGTGGCTATAGTATGCAGGATGATGTTCCTGACTACTGTTGTATCTAAACTAC